ATATATATATATATATATATTTATCGATGTCTTGTTGAAAATATTGCGCACAATGTCAAACTGTATAATAAAATAATAAAGTTAAAATATATCGAACTAGAAAAGGGCCGTCATGAAAAATAACAATTTCATTCTCAAATATATGGTGGTCTATAAATATAGATCCAACTTTATTTTTTTTGTTCTTTAGTCTGTTAACTGAAATCGTTATTTTCAATATAATTGGCTTCTAGTTGGTTATACTTCGATTTTATAAAGATCGAGTCTTTTTCTTCATTTTTATTATTTTATGTGTTCTCTTTATTTTTATTATATAGAATATAGGACAAGTTGATAAGATACTACGACTTTCGATTACCTGAAGTATACAGAGTTACATCAATATTTGTTGCTGTAGTTATTGCAAGCGATATTTTCCAATGATTTAAGATACTGACGAAGGAGAGTACTCTAACAAAATACGGAATACCTCTACAGGTACGTGTGTACTAGGATGACATAAGTAACCTTCTATCTTGCATTTAAATATATATCTTTACTTTTTCGACAAATAAGTACATGCAGATAATGTAAAACACATTATTATGTTAATGAAATTTACTAGAGTCCTCTCTCTCTCTCTCTCTCTTTCTCTCTCTCTCGCTCTCCCTCTCCCTCTCTTTCTCTCTTGACTCCAATAAAAATTCATCTTTCTTATTAATCCAAGAAATAAAAGTATATATTTGAACAATGACTTTTTGTCTATTTATGTCACCCTACAGTATTCTCGGTTCCCTAGCGTGTACACGCAAGCAATACGTAAACACACAGAACTTGACGCTAATATGTTATATTTGTTATACTTACAAAAACAACAAGTCACTCACGCTTCCGTTATTATATATATTTACAATCCGCCTCTGGTTATTGCTATTATGGTACATTTATACAGGCAAAATGGCACACGCGACAGATATCTTCTTATCCTGCGTGCTGATCCATCGCGGTGTTATTGTTTCATGATTACGATAATGTTACATACGACCTCGACACGTTAATAAGTGTCTTGTGTTATATGTATGATACAGCCTTGCATATACCGGTGCGCTAATAATTACATCTAATTAGCGCTAACCGGCTGTCTCGACTATGTACAGAATAAACAAAGATTAACTGCTCTTTCATCCC